AACAGTCCTTAATCCTGATTATAGTACCCCCTATTATAATCCCTAAACCCTAAACCCTAAACACAATCAAGGACTAGCTAGACCTTTAAAGCCGGCTGCTCTCAGCTCGCCGCCGCTCCTCGGCCTGCCGTGCTGCAACAGCCGCCTGCGTCATAGGATTCCAGGGTGGCTTATGGTGGCTTTGTTCTGCTTGGGGTTTAGGGTTTAGGGTGTGGGGTTTAGGGTTTAGGGTTTAGGGTTAGCGGTTAGGGTTTAGGGTTAATCGAGTTAACAGGGGACCATCTTGGCACCGAGAAGCCTAAAACCCAGCTCTGCAGCCAGCTGGAGCCCGGCCAGCCCCGTGCAAAGTGCCTTCGCGAGCATGTCCGCTGCTGCCTTCCAGATACTGTATAGATTCTAGATGGGCAAAATCTGAAAAGTGCTGTGATGAGCTCAGCTAAGTGCCTTGGGTCTCGAACTTGAAGCCTTACTTACGATTGCAACCCGCACCCCCGTCACCATAACCGAAGGCGAGGAAAACCGACAGTTGCCGGGAAGCCCCTCCACGCTCGGTTCTTGTTGATACTACCCGACACACGAGCACGATCCAGGGCTCCATTCCTGCCCATCCCCTGTGACTCTTACCACTTTTGGCACGCGACCGCGATGCAAGGGTCGAAAAAGACAACAGTCACGAGGATCTGCGCTTGCAGACGCTTGCATGGGATTGCAGACTCTGGGACAGCAAGCCCAACACTCACGAACACGAAGAACCATCCAAATCAGACTTCGTGGTGGCACAAACCTTGTACCAACTGCCTTCCACCTAAACACGCCCACCTCAAGTAAACACTGAATCCTGTGGTTCTAGAAGCTCGAAATAGTTGAGGGCAAACGTCCCATCCCACAGCCACAAGCCTCAGCAGGGAACTAATTTGGCGGCATTCCCTGAACAGTGCTAATTACAAAAGGAACTTCTTGCCCAAACCCTTAACATCTTAAACCCGTGGGGTGCCCTGATGAGACGCTCGAGGACGTTTCCATGTGCCTGCAAGGAGCGAAGGCTTCGACTTTGGTACGTTCGGACACTGTTCGGGCTTCAGCTGTAGGATGCTTGGGCCAGGCAAAGGCATACTGGAACGTGAGTAGAAGGTATGCGCTCACATGTCGAGTTTAGGCACTGACCATGGGATCCTGGGCATCCTGTATTCGAAATCCTTCACACGCCTTCCTCCAAACCATACTATAGGACCGCAGACTGTATCAATACCGGTGCACCAGCGTGCTCAGCGGCTGCACGCTTCTGTGCCCCCCCCGCCCCCAAAAAAAAAACCAACTCTCCACTCTCCACTTCTTGATCCTGAGCCGTAAATCCAAGAACGCGTGGCTGTGCCCACTCAGTTGTACCGTCGCTCAACGAGCGTCCTTAGTCACTCTACACTGCTCCCCCCCGAAGCCACCTCGACTGAATCCTCCGGGACAACGCCCACAGCACACCTGGGCGTCGAGGACTGCGAAAGTCTTCTCATCTTAGCTCTAAGATGCTCGACAAGTAAGTTTCGATTTTCACTGAAAGGTCGAAGCTGCGTGAACTGAGCCCAGCACACTGCCAACCGCAGTATCACGTGTAGAGTTTTCAAGGCACAAGCCAGATGGTTCAAGATTTTCAGGCCAAAGCCTGACGTAGGCTTTGGGGAAGGCAGTAGAACAGAACTTTTACAGCTAAGCTAAGCTGCAGGGGCCCACGATTTTTGCATGTATGCTTGCTGTATGTTCAGCATTCTTTCAGTGCTGTGTGCCGAGGGCGAGGGTGATGGCAAGGTACTTGGATAGCGTGCCGTTCAGGAGCTGGGGCATTCAGTGTGCTGCTGATTGCCATCGCCTCTGTGAACACATTTGTCAAACAGGATTTTGCCGGAAATTAAGACTTAAGTCTTGGGAGGGTGGGCGAAAGTGTGGTTCTCCACCGCACCATGGATACCGAAACCAGAGCCCAACGCAGCCCCTGTCATTCTGAACTGGGCTGAAAGCACATACTCTTCGCCCACCGTCTCGATCTTAGTGACCTGCGTTGTGGGCTCGTGAAGGCGATGCACGGCTCAAGCTGCGCGAGACTGCGAGTAGACATCTCAATTCAACATGAACTCTACGGAAGATTTCGGCATGTTCTGACAGGCTGGGAATTCTTGGGAGGCCCTGTGAGAGATTACAACCCCTGAATCCTGTGATGATAAGGGTTTGAGGCTGGTGTGAGTGTAGGCTTTGGATTTCTGGTGTGGGGAGGGACAAACGGGCCGAGCCCCTCAAGTTCTTGGCCGCCTGGTGCTTGGAGCAAATAACGTCCATCAAGGTGAACCTCGGCGGTTGGACTTGGGGCGCGTGGTGCTGGCAAAGTCAGACACCAAAAGTCGAAACAACGAGGCGAGAGGAAGGATAAAGACAAGCGAAAAGTCGTGAACCAGGAGGGCGAGAGGCAGGAAACGGGCCAGACCAGTCAGGACAAGTGGCCAGACACTGCACCGTCTCTTGAATTTACATGACGACCTTCTGCAGAGGTGCATGCAGACCGGGGCCTTGCCTGTAACCCACAACAGCGGAGACGCAAGGTTGGAATGTATATCGCAGGGGAACTAAAGAGTTGCATGTTTCCCATTGAGAAATTAATCAGACTTCGTGTTTTTGGGTTCTTAAGGGAAGGGGTTTCAAGGGGGGTATGTAACCCAAGGGTCCCCAATACTCTCCACTACTCCCTGAGGCTCCCTAAGCTTCCTAGGTACCTACCCCCCTAAAACCCCCTTGTTTAAGAACCCTACAATACGGACATCGTGTCACAACGAGGGTTTGGCAATGAGGGCGGGCTTTTCTCCTGACTTCACAGCGAATAGGACACCCTATGACTCGCCTATGACCATATCAGAGGAACTCGAAAAACCCCTAGTGTTAAAGGAAACCGAAAACCCCTCTTGAAACTTGATGTTTTGTAGCAAAATATCTTCAGGAAAAACAGCGGAACTTTCCGATTGACAGCATTTAGCAGACCTGGAGATTTCCAACCACCATTAGAAGCTGTAGTAAGGGGGGGCCGTTTTGCAACATTTGGGGTCCTAAGTTCGGGATCAAAGCAGGAACCGGGGATAGAAAACTTATGAAACCAACCTCAAAGATCTGCGACGATGCACAAACAAACCGAATCGGATGACTTTAAGGAACATTCGGTTTGTAAACCGAAGCTACGCAACTTGCACAAGTGTCGTGACGAGTCCGGCCAGCAGGACAAAGTCTTGAACCCTGCTTTTGGCGAAAGCATGTGGAAAACGAGCAGCATGCTCTGTCTGCTGCTGCTGCTGCTGATTCATATCTACTGCCTGTCAGAAAAAAGAAGCCCTGAAACGGCACCTGGACTGCGCGGAGACTCTTTGCAACCTGGTCTTCTGGACAACTAGCGAAACTGTTGACAGCAGGGCAAAAGCATCGTGCATGCTTTATGGCGAGGCGAGGAGTCTTTGCCCCCCAAGTTCCGCTACGCGCGTCACCAGCGCGGAAGCACACAGAATCGGAGAGCATCAAACCCTTTAGCCGCTATAGCCCAAGACCTTACACCACGCACCTGTTGCTTTCTTTAACTTTAGGCACAGTTTTGCAATAATCAGCTCGTCCTCGACTGCAAAGCATGCGAAGTAGAGGGGGCCCCTCCCCCTTCGTTTCTCCAAAGATCGGTTGCCAGGCCTCCATCAAGCTCTGCTCAAAAAAAGACTCCAGCGGACCAAGCCCCAAAACCCAGCACTTGCCCAGGATTAGCCGCAAAACGTGGACCAAACTTGGCCTCCAAATTGGCGCCCCCCCCCCCCCCTAGTACGGATCAGCTTACTCTCGATATTTTTTAAACCAAAGGCTCCCCTCAAGTTTGAGGCCTCTCGTAGCTTCGAGCAACCGGTTTTTGGCAAGAATGGTTGTCTGGGATAAACGATCGAGGCTTGATGCTCAAAGCAGGCCAGCGATGCTATTACCCTTTCACGTCAAGGCCGCGAGAGCAGATGCACAAACATGCTGAAGCAAGAGTTATGCACGAGGGTCCCTTCTTGGGTCCCTGTTGCAACATGTCCCAATATTCTTCGTCATGTAAGAGAGCAGACATGGCCAGACCATGCGTCTGGCAACATCTGACTATACATACACAGCATGGCCCACCACCGCAGCGGTCTTATCAGGCCCTGTCCCCTCTGAGTTGTTGCATCATCGAACTCCACTCTGGACATCCTGCGCGACAAGTTGCGGAGAGTGCGTCTGTCAGAAGTCGCGCTCTGCGCTTCATGCTGGGTACTGCAGTGTTTCGGGCAGGTATATCAGCATGCACTGATCCTCCTCAGCACCGTCTGGGACTCCAAGCCTGAAATCCACAGCCGCCAACTCTCAACTAAAACCGACGTCCTCAAATCGACACCCTAACATCATCCTGAAGCCCGAAACCCTAAGACTCTAAACTCATGGTTTGGGCGTTTACTGGGATCAGGTTTTGCTGCAGTTTGCGATGCAGGGATATGGATCGCGGCCGAATGGCATGATGATGATGATGATGAGGAAAGGGGGGAGAGGGGGGAGGAGGGGGGGGGAGGGGGAGGAGGAGGAGGAGGAGGAGGAGGGAAGCAGGAGGACGAAGATGGCGACGACGTTCATGGCAACATCTTACAGCAAATTATTTCAGCTTCCTCAAGAGTGGTGTCTTCAACTGCACAAAGTGCGGCATCTGGCAGCATGGTTTGCTGCATGGTTTGCTCACCATGCGAACGCCGAAACTTGTCGTCCTCAGCGCCATGCATTCGCGACATAGTGTAGCCGCTGGCTCCAGGACCCAGTCTGACAAGTCAGGAAAAGGGTTGCATCCCGGATCTAAGGAGAGCCCTGACTTCCCATTCAACGACCTCTATAAACACCTGCACATGGCGCCGTTCACTCAAGCCTCCTGAAGAATTGAGAAATCCCTGCAACCGTGGCAGGCAGCTTTCTGCAGTTGCCTGGATCCATCAGGAGAAAATCGGTAAGCCAGCCAAGGCAATCGCAGAGCCTGCAACCACACACCGCAGAACGTGGTCGGTAGGTGCAAGTATCACGTATTGGTGCCACTCTTCTACTTGGCAGCGTCAATCCTGTCTTGTGCCTGGGGCACCCCATGCGCGTGTATATTCGGCAGGGTCGCTAAAACGCCGATTGCGCCTTGGCAAGGCGCTGTGTGCCAAGATCGGTAAATGGCCCACGAGAAGTCGGAAGTCCGACTAAACCCAAAGGAGACTTTCTACATGACATGCGATTTTTCATGTGGCCGAATGTAAATGCTGGGATGACAAGATGTCCAACTGACAGCCGAATGATCCCTCTTATTCTGGCCGAGCGGCTCCAGCCCTTTTATGGCTTCCATCTCCTCTGCGAAAGCGCTGCCGCAGAAATTGGGTCATCTAATGTAAGCGAAGTGAAACAGTTTTTTGGATGCGAGATGATGTGTGTAACGGGCGAGCGGCGAGTATCTGGAGATTGACAGACATGACATAGCATGCAGTCTTTCTACTCGTTGTGTAACTCCCTCCGTCTCTCACAGGCACGGCAGCTCCAAGCTCTGTATCGCAGAGACGCCTAACTAGGCGGATTTGTCAAAATCACGAGACATGCCTTTCGGATAGCACTGCTTTGCGGCTCCTCTGCTGACAGCTCGAAACCGAATACATCGAGATTCTCTTTCAGTCGGTCTACATTCCTTAGCCAGCGCAAACGAGGCTGCCTCTTTTTGTGGCACGGATGGGGTTGTCCAAACCAGCATCCAAGCGGCTGGCTTTTTGGTATGATAGAGCATCCTCGCTGGAGTTGAAAACGTAGCACAACTTGTCCTTTGGATCCATGGAAATTCACAGAATCCTGCAGTGGCAAAATGCAGCAAGCACCCTGCTGTACTTTTGTACTCGGTGCCGGGCCGACAGTCTTGCTGTGCTTCTCTGCAATGGACGTCAAAAGTGGCTCGAGGAAACAATCGTCTTCAGCAGATGCCAGCCCAATGCCCAAGTAGGACTTCCTTACGCTCTTTTGGAGCTTGATTTTTGTCGCAAAGGGCACAAGTTCGACAAGTGAATGATCACTTTTTTGAGTGAGTTTAGGCTTGGATTTCAGTCTGAAGGATGTTGGATAGTGAGGGCTGCAACAGCTTCTGGATGCTGAAAAAGCTTGGCGGCGCTCCCAATGGCGAATAAGCGGTCACACAGATTCCGTGCGCCTGTCCAGTTTTTACTTGTCATTGTCTTGCCAGCCGTGCTGGTATTACTACAAACTTACTGGACACGTTTGGGGTTTAGTCGCTCACTCTCGTACAAGGCCGGCAAGGTCGTTGGTCTGTGCAGGCACTACGACAAACCCAGAAGCGGTTGCTTGGGCTCGACTAAGACCCAATTTCCCCCTCTAAGCCCATCAACCACATTGCCAGGCGCATCAGTCAAAAGAAGGCTATACTATCATCAGGGTACATCTAAGTCTCTTTGGACTTGGCAGTCTGTCAGGAATACGATCAGGCAAAAGGGTTCAGGGCACGAAGCACACAAACGCACGCTTCAGCAGTCACTGCAAACTGCTTTGAGTAAATGCGGTTTCAACCGCAAAAACGACACATAAGAGAGATACCCCGCATTTTCGTGACTGCGCGTTTTGTTGCATAAACGTCAACCATCCTTGTCGCATTTTGTAGAAAGAGGTAAAAGCGCTGTAAGTAGCGGTGTTTGGGTCACGTTCGCAAAAGGCACGAACACTGGTGACAGCGTGTTGCAGAAACATCAACCATTCATCTGCAGTATGTGTTGCAAGCGTGTTTTTCGAGCACCTGCGGGCTTTGGCCCCCCCCCCCTTCCGCGGGCTCGGAGCTAAGGGATCGGGATCCGTTCACAGCGATAAAAGAAAGAGGGCGTGCGAGTGCTAGCGAGGTTGCACACAGTCTGCTATGTGTGCTGTGTGTATTCGTCTCCGATGGCACTAGTCACTAGTCTCCTTGACTCGCGCTAGTTTCCAGGACACTCGGCCGGTGCTTGGGGTAAGTGGGGAAGGGGTGTCCAGTGCACAGTGTACAACTTCCTGAATGCACTGCATACGCAACCGACTAGTACGTGTCGGTGATCCCGGTCAAATATGCGCGTGCGTGTTTTCCCATCAAAAGCCTGAGGCTGAGGATGCAGGTTCACTGCTGCAGCCCTCATTTATGCATCAAAACTCAATATCAAGACTGACATTAGTCAGTGTTTGGTCCTTTGAACTATTAGTCAGGACTGGGTTTCTTTCTCCAGCTTGACTGCTTTTCGCCCCCGATCCTGGAAGCCCTAACCACCTCCTCCCCCCCCCCCCCCGCCCGCCAAGAAAAAAAAAAAAACCTCATGGGGAGCATCATAGCGCTTGAGCTTGAGCTTGACGTAACTAAAGAAACAGTCACGAATCTGCAGCGGTTCTCAAAAAAGTCTTCGTGCCCGCCTGGCAGAAAGCTACCAGTCCAGGCTGTTGCAGGTAGACGTGGCTCTCAATCTGGTTGACGGCTGGCGCGATGCAGGTGGAAGAGAGATTCTGGAGTCTTTCCCCTGTTTTCTAGGTATGCACCAGCAACATACGCACCACATTGCGACGTCGATTGTATAGCAATATGTACCTATACCATGTAGGTCTACTGTCCGAGACGAAGATGCACTCAAACTGGTTACCTCCACCCATGTCTAAAACAGTTTTGGTGGCCATAGCTTGACAGACCTATCACCACGATGCGTTTTTGGTCCTCAAAAGCCATGTGCCAAATAGAATCTCAAAATGCGGGTATGTCTCGATGCTAAATCGGGGGTTTGCTGGTCCAGCCACAATGCCAACAGAATCTGAGGTGTATTGGACAGTATGGGCGGCTTCGATCCTGTTCGAGCCTCGACATAACTCGACATCACCTTTGTTCAAACCAACGCCGCGTGCAAAGACTTTAGCAGATGGCAGCTGGAGGGTGCAACAGCCTACCGCTACTTGTACGACTCTCCCGCATTGTGTCTTAGGGGCTGAACACGTTCGCTATCTGGCCTGGCTTGATCTTGCAATAGGAGAGCAAGTCCATGAGCAACTGCACGTTCACGTTGCTCACACCGATGTGTTTTGCTTTGCCGACTTCCTCTCAGGACAATTGCCGCGAACTCCCTTCTCTTCACGACCGAGGCATATCTATGCAATGATTTTTGTCACCGGCACATTCGAGACTGGACGTAGAGAGGATGTGGGTCAATGCTACAGGGATGCGCCATGATTCATCCTTACTATGGTCATTCCAACCGCCCCCACAAAACGATGGAGCAGCTTCATTACTCTATCCAAACTCAGCATTTAGTCGCAGCTTCTGTTTCACTGTATTACCGTATTACTCTGCTTTGTGGAGACCCTGTAATTCCCATACACCTCAGGACCAAATTAAACGAAATGCCTGCAAGGCTTCCATTGCTTCCCAGGTTTCGCCTCAGTTATCGAGCTTTTTTCCTAGCATTTGAGAAGAAATGGATTGCAAAGGGGTTCTTGCCCTACGAGCAGGCAGCCAAGACGTAGCTCGGGCAGCCTAGAATGGCCCAAGGGATTGCAGCTGAAGAGCGATAAGGCACACGATCCAGAATGATTTTGCCAGCATTCCCTGGTTGGTCCGTCCACTTTGGCGGGTAGTATGCATCGAAAGGCACATACGCCAATGCAATAGGTTGGTGGATGAGGTAGAGGTCCACGAAATCCTCAATGTGCTGTGGCAGGGGGCATGCTCAACTGAAGCGTTTAGTCACCACCGTTCTGCTACCCAACCAAGTCTCTAATCCCAGGTCATCCAGTGTCCGCTGGCATGCCATTGGCACATGCCTGGTGAACTGTGAGAAGCAATGCAGAACTGTTGTCAGCAGTCCTCGAGAGCCATAGGTCGAGAACTTGTGACACACATTAGGCAAGTGTTGCATTACCAATTAAATCGGATAGAATGACAACTGAATGACACTCCTGCATTTGAGGCCAACATACTTGCAGGCTTTGCCCTCCGAGCACTCAGTACCCCTTGACAAGAAGACACCCTGATGCCATCTGCAGAGTCCACAGCAAAGGTCAACCACGACCGCACAATACTAGTTTGTAGACAACTACCGTAGCCGAAACAGTCACACCCAGCACGGCTTACGCGATCGCAAGTCTTCTCTACGTAGGTTCAACCAGATAATCGAGGCTTTGAGAAAAATGGCAAGCAAGCAAACTTCATGATTCGATATTTCGAGGCCCCTCGGGCATTCAAAGGAGTCTGACCTCGTCTGGAAAGTTCTCCACTCATTCCCGACGCATCCGCCATTCAGATTCAAGGTTTTTAAGCAAATGCATTCACGACGTCCTGTGCGTGCGATGCTATGTCCGACCAACAGCTTCCTTCAACTGGGCAATCGTGCAGCACTTGGCTTGTCACTTGTCAGACTTGGTTTGGCTATTCGGTGAGATGGCAACATCCCTGGCATGACATCTGCACACGTGCATGTAAGTGTGTCGGTCATGATGATGACGCGACCCATTCACATGTTCTCCGATCTCTCTTTTGAAGGTCATGACATGTCATATATCGCGCAAAGACCAAGGGCGGCGTGATCGCACAACTTGAATACAACGTCTTCACCTTGCCGCGGTGCGACTCTGAGGCAGGAGGCCGAAGCTCAATTTCACGGATCACCCACAACACGTGACACACAGCAGCTCACGATACAAAATGCAAAGGAGGTTTTCATGGTTATGGCCCGGTTTGCAGCAACAAGACATCTCCCTTCATCGCAGGATCCAGGTGCAGTTGAGGAGCTCCCGTCTGTGGTAGGTGTTCCACAACTTCGAGGTAACCCAGAGGTCGCCTCGAGTGCACAAGCCCTCTTGGATGGCCCGTCGAATTCCAGCGCCTACCTGGCAGGTCCAGATCGTTCTTTGCAGAGAGAAGGGCCTATGAGGGTGCGGTCGGAAGTGAAGATTGAGCAGCTCATCCGGACTCTCGGTCCATCACCCGCCTCCTTCTCGTTGCCATACGCGGCCGCACTGTCGATGTGTCGATATCCAACCTTCAACTGAGGAAGGCGAGCAACAAGTAGCAAAACTCATGTTCAGGCCTCCTGTTGCTGCTTCTGTTGCTAAGACGAGGACGACAATAACAGCAAGAACCACCACCACTTGGGTCTACAAATTGCTGCCCACACAAAAAACGTGGCAGGCGCCAGCCTCGTACGAATGGCGATATGCCTTGTTCTACATTCCTTGTCTGCCTACAACAACAATACTTCTGCAAGCAAAGCTACTAGTAGAGTGGCGGCTATTGCGATCAACAAATACTGACATACAGAGATGAACACTTTCAGCCTGCCAAAAGCAGAGCATGAGATATCACGACTTCTGCTGCAACATGGCTGTGCCGAAATCACTGTTGTGGTGCAGCAGCTAACAACAACTACTGGCCGACCATCATTTGCACAGTTTTTTGTCTCAAAACTACTGCCACCACGGTCATCTAGTTCTACTTGGAACAGCATTGTGCGCCTTGATGGCATTGTACACCACCTCTTCAATCTTCTGAGCTTTCCAGCATCCCAAGCCGACCATGGGCATGCCAATCTCTGTGACCGATGCCATTGCAGGCGACTAAGTTTGAGAAAAAGCGCAGCGCTTGCAGGCAGCCCAACGATATAATCGTTCTGGTCGGTGACGAAAGGTGGCTCAGTGGCTGAAGTTTATAGGCACTCTTTCGAAGTCCTGCTGCTTGAAAAGCTCTGCGCTTGCTTCTCCCTTATATATTCCCTTTAATCAAGAAACCTTGGGAATTTGCACTGTTCGATGTTCAGTGCCATTGCTCGTTTGAAGGCCAGTGCATGGATGATATCCGGGGTCCACATCTGCGAGGGAACCCGCTTAGTTGCAATTCGTCTTGTTTGCTTGCAATTTGTCGGCTTCATCACAACTACGTAGTTGTAGTTTGAAATTGTTTCCAAGCGACCTGGTCGGCATACTTTGTATTTTTGTTTCCAAGCGACCTGGTCCTTCGAGGGGTTGCCAAACCCCTTGCCTCAGCTTTTATGGTTTAAGGCTTGCCACCCAACATCTCCTTTCAGGGCTTGGAGCTTGCCACCCAACATCTTCGTTTACTCAGGTGGCGGTCATTGCAACCGGCTGGGGATTCAAGTCTGGCCTCCTTCACATCGAAAAAAGATGTGCCTTCAGCTGCAACTGTGCCCGGCGACACAAGATTGGGGGGTCACCCGGCCAGCATCGGGTCACCCTGCCAGCATTGGCCTTAAGCTGCTGCTGCTGCTGCTGCTGCTGCTGCCGGCAACATAAGATTGGGTCTCCTTGCCAACGTCCGGTTTTTGGGGATGATGTAGGGCTTGCCACCCGACATTTCTTGAGGGGCCTCTTTGTGGAGTCGGTTTCAAAGTTCGAACCACCATTTTCGTCACACGGCCTTTACGGCCTCAAAGTTTGCAGGAGTCAAATTACTCAAAAGGTAAAGGTCTTTGGAAAGAGCAAGTATGCAGGGGTCTGAAGCAAATAGTAAACCCAGCACCCCTCCTTGAACAAATCTTTGAATGTGAACCTCACTCACTCACACACGCAAACTTCAATGCGTGTCAGTGCTGATTCAACTTGAAATTTAAGTTCTCTCCACGGTCACCATCTGCTTGCAACCGAAGAAACACAACGTGCAGTGGTATCACGGGCACATCGTTACACTTTTGGATGATGTCTTCCAGAGCGAGTATTAACATCAGTGTGCACTATACTGTCGTATCCTGATTAGTCTGGACCCCTCCAATAATGAGTGAGAAGTTTTCCAAAAATTATTCAGGAGACAAAAATTCGATTGCCCCCACAATAAAGTAGTAAAGTTTTTCGGGCATGGGTTTCGGAAGAGAGAAAAAAAGAGAACAAGATGATGAAAGAAAAGAGCAACTGAGCTTACCTGAGCTTTCCTGAGCTTTCCTGAGCTTACCTGAGCTGAGCTCATCTGAGCTTACCTGAGCTTAATTACCTAAGAGGAGAGGGAGAGGAAGAGGAGAGGGAAGAGGAGCGAAGAGGAAATGAAGAGGAGCCGGTGGGGGGGGCCCGGGGCCGAAAATTAGTTTGGGGGGGTCCTTTTTTTTGGTGACACTATTGCGGGGGTGGATTTAGTTTGGGGGGGGGGCCCCCCCACACTAATCAGGATACCACATTAGACGGCTTACACAGTCAGGATGTCACAAGCAAAGGCAGGTACGTCGGGCCGATATCAGCATGCTTATACTGAAGGAGTGTCTTCGTTGAGTGGCGACTCCAGTGGCGCGCGCGCCAACCCCGTTCTAAATTCAGTGACCGGCACCCAAGGGCACAAACATTCAGCACAAAAAACCTCAATGTTGTCTCTACCCAACTCGCTCCTTTCTCTTTCTTTTTCACAGCAGACGGTTTAAAATGCCCTCAAGGTCCAGATCGAATCCTTCGATCAGGTGGCATACCCGATGCCCTAACATATACAATGCTCCGCCTGGAAGCATACCACTCCCAACGCATTCTAGTTCCCCAAGGCGTTTTAACAGCAAAGCAAAGATGCGTGAAGTGGCAGATTGAAGCAGAAAGAGGAAGGAGCCTTCCCGGCTTAGATGTTGAACCGTAGCTCCAAACAGTTTGCATTTTCCCCCCCCGATTCGCCCCCTCCCCCACGTATGCCGATATGCAGCAACTCCCATCGATACGCTGACACGTCGATTCCCTCCCCCAACCGCGCCTTTCAGTGCAAGGGTGCATTGCCACTGGTGTGATGCTGCAGATCGCCCCCTCAAACCTCCTCGGCCCTGTTAATTACGGTGTATGCGGTGTGTATCCCCCCTACACCCGCATACGCCGATGCGCCAATTCGCCGATACCCTCCCCCCCACGCCCCCCACCCCTCAGCAGCACTTCTTTTAATCTCGATGGAACGGCGAGCAAACGCAGATATTTCAACATGCCAATCCCCGAAAGCATTATTCGTACAACCCGGCACTTACAGACAAGGTTTAAGCGGAAGCGGTATGAAAGCGAGGAAGCGCCCCAAGGCAGGTGCAAGGGGAAGGAGGTGGGTAACGAAAATCTTCACGACACCTGGCTGCCGTGAGCAGGAGATGTAAACATGTTTGCGTAACAGCAGTACCCCTCCCAAACAGAAGTAGATCCCCAAAACACTACGTCACTACGTACGACTAAGAGATGCCATCTGTGTATCGGCGTACTCACTGGCCCCCCTCCCTCCTTTCCTAAGTCCTACCCTGCCCGAACGCCGATATGCCGCCATGCCGAAAGCCCCTGAAGCCCCTCACATCAGCGACAGAGCTTGTGCCAATCACGTGTGATGGAGGTGCTCGAGTTATGATGACTCCCTCGAGGGGAGCGTACCACCTAACGAGACCCCTGGCGATATTTTCTGATGTTCTGGGGGGCGCTGGCCGAGTGGCACCAGAGCAACCCCGCGCCCCCACCCAGTACCATCTCGCGGGCGGCAGCGCTGCGCATGACTGAATCTGGAGCTCTTGTGGGAAGTCCGACATGGACCAAGCAAGATCCCTCGATAAATTCCATGATCTCTAAACACAGCATCCAGCATCCGAGCCCACTGCTGGTTATTCAAGAACTTGATCAGGTTCTCCGGGCCCAGGATGCGAGCCTCGGGCATGCTTGGGATGGGAGTTGAGTTGCCGGTGCCTGGTGGGGAAAGGTCTGCTCGATATTTACAGGGCTTTCGAATTGGCAAGGGTTATGAAAACAGGAGTGGGACGCGACATGCAAGAGTCTAGGTGCTCAAGGCTGCATGCAAGCGTTTGAAGCCGAAGAGTCACCAAGCAGGAAGGGCATCACATAGCGGTCCTGTTCATCGAAGTTCTCGATCATCACAAACAGAACGGACCTCCGAATGTACACATCCAGCAATGGACTCAAAGAATGCTGTTGTGACGATCGCGGTACGTTTGGTTCTGTCTGCGATCGTTTTCTGGAGGGGCGCACCCTCAGCAAGCAAGGATCAGCTGGGCAAGCAACTTCAGCAAAGCACAACTTCGAGCTCCAATGCAGCTCCTATCTGATGCAAGCCGGCATAAAGGCTGAATACTTTGCATCTTTCAGGGCCGAGCACGATGTCCTTGTGTTCAGCCACCACTTCGCCCGGGTCTCAGCGATAGATGTGCCCTGGTGATGTTTGCCAGGCGAGTGGCTCTGAGGACCCAACTTTTCAGCATGGGCAGGATGACATGTGTGGGAACCTCTAGACCGGCATTTTGATTACATGCTGAACTGTAACCAAAGCTGACAAACTGCCAGACCCAAGCGCAGGGCCATCTCGCACAAGATGCAGAAGATCTTCTTGCTAGACTCTTGCCTGGGTGTGCGGGACAGGACAAGGTTCGCGGAACCATTTCAGAGACTCTCGAGACACATTTGCAGTTCCCGATGCCGCTCCCAAAGCAAACAGGAACGCAGCTGTAAGGGCTGAGCTTTCTTTTCAGGGTCAGAGATTCGTGGGTTGGCACAGACAACTGGGCACGGCAGTTTCGAAGGTCAAAGAAGAGGCGTTAAGGCCCTGGAAAGCAACTGAAACTGCAACAACACCTACCGTATGAAACCCTACACCCAAACTATAAAGAACAGAGCATCCGAAGCGTAAATACGTAGTTCCATTCCGACGAGACGGCATGAGACAGCGAGTGCCCTGGGTTCGAGGCTGTTCCTGGTCATAAAAGAACTTGGACCGCTGACCCTTCTCAATGAAGAACCTCGCAGGGTCATCGTGCAAAACGATCCAACCGAATCTGTTCGGAAAGTCAATGCACCCTTTAGAAAAGGAAGGCGATCTATCTCACCTTTCCCAAACATTGCATGGATCACAGTTTCGTTCTCCGTGCGGCCTTTCCAACAACCAAGTGAGAAGAAGTTGCTTCACCCTAAACCCTAAACCCTAACCCCTAAACCCAAAACCCTGATTCACAGCAAGCGCCCCACTTGCGGCGGTCCGCCACAAGAGAGACGAAGCTGAGGATGCCAACCTCTCGGCAGGCTCTGCTCCGAGTCGAGGGGGTCGTGCAGGGTGTGCGTTTCGGCCAAGCTTTGACAGAAAAGCTACACATAGCCCATATTCAACAAACACGCAGGCTGCCCGACAGAAACAAGGTCCACAAAAGGACATGTAAATCGGCCGGCTTCGTCCAAAATGAAAGCACTGTTACTGGATCCCACGCTGAAAGTGAATTACGGAATCTACAACTCCCACCGACTCCCAAGCCATCCTGACAAAAAAGCCTGAACCCAAACCCTAAACCCCAATCATGGAGCTTGGATGGCCAAGCATGATACCTCAAAAGCGGCGCGCGCGCGCGCGCGCGGAACCCTGAGGGTTGCACTGTGACGACCACATCTCTCTTGGCGTAGGACAGAGGCCTGACTTTGGAAAGATGCGCGGGTCTTTGGTTTTATTGTGAGGCATGCTTCGTCTTGCGTGAATTCTGGTCAGTATTGAGTTCTTGCTGCTGGACCGACTTGCGTGACCGTGGGGAAAGGGAAGTGCCACATGTCCACATAATTCCATCTTGTTTCAGCTTTCAACTCCTACCTGTCACGAGTGCGCTCTATGCCAGCCTCCTGCGGAAGATACAATAGGGTCGGAGGGTTTCGGGCTTTGGCCTGCCATGCTCATCGTACTCTTTTGCGCTCCAGCAAGAAAGTCGGCGCAATAAAGACTCCTCATAGCATAGGAGTGCTCTGCAGCATCACATCCAGCATCCAGCGTCTCTCTTCTGGCGTCAGAACGTTTTGCTGTGGCACAACATCCAAAACACCCTCAGCGAGGTGCCGAAAAGGCTTAAGCATAGCGACCCCCGTCCACCGAAAACAGCTCTCCGCCAGTGTCTAAGCCGAGCCGGTCTGCACTGTCGCTGTCGCGAATATATTATATTCCGATCCTCATCTCTGTTTAGGCTTCATTCCGTCGCACGTCTTGGGAGCCGGGGAGTGTTTCTTGATATCTTGTGTCTTGAGGCAATTGCGCTTGCAAGTGCCTGGTTTGAAAGCATGGCTCAATGGCACTGGCTGCTTCTACCACCTTGATGTTTTATGATGAAAGTGTTGGATAAGCACGCAATTCAAGGTCAGGCTTTCAAAGCCTCCAAGTGTAAAATTCGGCCTACTGTGAAGGTTGTGGGCTCTATGGCAAGCCCTTAGCCTAAACCCCAAATCCTCTAAACCCTAAGAGGTCCACCAACTCTCAGGACGCGGCCGATTTTCGGACTGCCAAGGCGCTGAATAGTCTCGGCTGTTGATGATTTAGGGGTCTGGGCCGGGCTGGGGATTTATTGGGGTGCTCTGCATATTCTGGCGACAGGCTTCAGTGCTGTTAGTTCATTGAGGCGCTGAAAGAATGTCGGAACCAGCGTTCGCTGTTCAACTGCAACTTCAAATCGGGAGCGGGAAAAAGCAAACATGATCAAGAGGATTAGTGATAAGAATGGCGGAGCGGGCGCCTTTCAACAAAACGTTACTGCCTCACGTCTGAGTCTACACCTATGGAACTGATTCAACTGATCTGTGAAGGAGCCAGCTCAGGGCTTCCCTCTGTGGTGGCATGACTAGGTTACCCCTGGCCAATGCCCAACCCACAAAGTCTCACCCATGGCAATCCACAGTGCCCAAGCAGCAAATGGAGATGACCGCGTAGACAACAATGTAAGCCTACAGAGGCCAGGGTCCGCGGCCAATGTTCGGCATAAGCACTGCCTTTCACGTGGTCGGACATTTCTGAATACCTTGAGCTGAAGTGCCCAATTGAAGAGCATCATTCGAGCTGAAGGAACAAGCCTCAGCTGGCATGTCGACACACCACTGGTCTGCCTCTGGCAAACACTTTCTGCACTACTTTGCAAACCTTGCTACGTCGTTAATCTCAACGGCTCAACATACCTCAGCCTGAATGCATCCCCAAGAGATGAAGACAAAACCGCCAAGGGCCTCAATGACTGCGCAAAGGAGCCGTGGGGAGAGGAGGAGCACTGCCATCATGATGTCCACAGGCGTGTGACCCTGCATTGTACAGTCCTCACGGACCAGGTTGCTATGTCCTATTTTCGCAACAGCACAACACTCTTGCCATACGTGGACTACATAAGAACCTCGGGCTGCACGCACCTACAACGTCCAGGGCCCCGCGGAAATATGAAGAGCTTAACACCGTGCACAGGCACAAAGAGCCCAGTTCCTTTTCCAGCGAAGTGATCTGGGAGCAAGCCAGCATCATGGAGGGAGGCGCTGTGCAAGGCAAATTTACCAAAAAAACTTTTGCGGTTAGGAACCTGCTGCTCCGTAAGGCCCATCAGCAACAAAACCTAACGTGGCATGTTGCCTAAGATGGGTAGCACCGCTAAGCCCTCAACCCCGTGTTGCTGCTGTTGCTGTTGCTGGTCCCGGTGCTGTCGGTTTTGCTGTAATTTTCTTGCTCACTGCAGTTTCGGTTGCGATTGCTGGTAGTGGTGCTGCTGCCGTTGGTGTTGAAGCATTGCCAGCTGAGTTTAGCTGGACAGCCGACGGGCAGTCCAAACCGGGAGGCGTCCGACAGCCCCCACAAGCCTTTTCAACCTGTCTCTGCTTCTGCTCGAGAACATCTCCATGCACAGGTGCTTGGCGCTCCGAACTTGACAAGGAGGCGGGGGGGGGGGGGGGAAATTGTCAAGTGATTTGCTCCAGCCTCTTACGCAAGGCGAAAGGAGCCTAAATCAGGACTACAGAGGCTGGAATCACCAGGAGCATTGTAGCAACGAGATTTTGAGGCGGCCTTGGCAGGGAGGCTGTTTGTTGTTTGTTTGTTGTTGTTTGTTTTTTGTTGTCTGTTTGTTTGGTTTTGCCTGTTTGTTTGTTTGTTTGTTTGCTTGTTTGTTGCTGGTTGTTCGTTATTGGTTGCTTGTGGTTGTTTGCTCGTTGCTCTGTTTGTTTGCTGTTTGTTTGTTGTTTGCTTGTTTTTTGTTTGTTGTTTGTTTGTTGTTTGTTGTTTGTTGTTTGTTGTGTGTTTGTTTGTGTGTTTGTTTGTTTGTTTGTTTGTTGTTTGTTCGCTGTGTGTTTGTTGTTTGTTTTTTGGTGATGCTGTGTGTTTGTTTGTTTGCTTGCTTGTTAGTCAGTTTGTTTGTGTGCTTGTTTGTTTGTTTGTTGGTTTGTTTGTTTGTTTGTTTGTTTGTTTGTTTGTTTGTGTGCTTGTGTGTGTGTGTGCCTCTGTGTGTGTTTGTGAGCTCGTGTGCTTGTGTGTGTGTGTGCGTGCGTGCGTGCGTGCGTGCGTGCGTGCGTGCGTGCGCGCGTGTGTGTGTGTGTGTGTGTGTGTGTGTGTGTGGGTGGGTGGGTGGGTGGGTGGGTGGGTGGGTGGGTGGCTGTTTGCTTGGTGATTGTTTTGTTTGTTTGTTTTTTTTGTCTGTTTGTTAGGTTGTTTGTTTGGTTGTGTGTTGTTTGTTTGCTTGTTTAATGCGCGTGTGTGTGTGTGTGTGTGGGTGGGTGGGTGGGTGGGTGGGTGGCTGTTTGCTTGGTGATTGTTTTGTTTGTTTGTTTTTTTTGTCTGTTTGTTAGGTTGCTTGTTTGGTTGTGTGTTGTTTGTTTGCTTGTTTAATTAAGCTTGCTTGTTTGCTTGCTTGTTTGTTGTTTGCTCGTTTGCTGTTGTTTGTTTGTTTGCTTGCTTGTTTGTTTGTTTGATTGGTTGTTTGTTTGCTTGTTTGCTTGTTTGCTTGTTTGCTTGTTTGATAGTTTGTTAGTTTGTTAGTTTGTTTGTTTGTTCGTTCGTTTGTCTGCTTGTTTGCTTGCTTGCTTGTGTGTTTCCTTGTGTGCTTGTTGGTTTCGCTGGTGTTTGTTTGTTGTTGCTTGTTTGTTGTTTGTTGTTTGCTGTTTGCTGCTTGCTGTTTGCTGCTTGCTAGTTGCTGTTTGCTGTTTGCTGTTTATTGTTTGCTGTTTGCTGCTTGCTGTTTGTTGTTTGTTGCTGGCATCTGTTGGTGTCTGTAGTTACTTGTCTGTTGCTGTTAGATGTTTGATGGTGTTCGTTGTTGGGCTGCTGGTTGTGGATGACGTTGTTGTTTGTTGCATGTTGCCGTTTGACTGTTGTTTATTTTTTGTGTTGCTTGATGTTTGTGTGTGTGTGTGTGTGTTTGGTTGTTGTTTGTCGTTGTGCTTGATGTTGGTCTTCTTTGCTGCCCCGGCCGTTGACTGCGCTCACCAGGATCTGTCGCTATCTGCTGACTTTCCTACAACTTGGTCGTAGTCGTTGTAAAGGCTCGCATGCCTCCCTCCACAAAAATACGACTCTCCAAGGCTTCCATGGTCAAGCACCATGATGGAAAGCCACAAAGCCAGTTAGCCCAGCTGCGACAGTCTGGCCAACAAAAGTAGTATCTAGTGTGGTCCGACCTTTATTTTTGGCCCGCGGCTTGGCTTTGGCTGCCGGCATGCGATTCGTCATGCCAGGGTAATCGCGCACAGCGAATCTGCTTTCAGGGGTCGCTAGTCTGGTCCGGACATTTTTAGGTAAGGCTTGGCATCCTTGCTCCACAAAAACACACTTAGGTGTTCCTGACAGTAGACCAATGGGGAGTAAAACTAGTTTAGACCAACGTTCCCATCAGTTCTCCTCTTTCTAAGGTAGGTGTCCGAAGGGACTGGCTTCGACGCGCACCCCTTCCCTATACAAGGCCTAAACATAATAAGGCATGTATTGAAATTCCGCGCGGTCCCAAACTTCGCAGCGATAAGCTCGGCTCAGCACCATGAGTTGCAAATTGCAACCACAGGGCGTCAGGCTGCCCGACATCGCCCGAGGGATCAAACGACGATCGTGGCAACCGGCGCATCGGGACATCCTCCTTGGGATAGGCCACTAAGTTAGGCTACGTCTTCAGCAGCCGACGAATGCAGATGACGAAAGCACCCCGAATTCACCCGCACAAAACAGACACAACTGCATTTGAGCATCGACG